GTTTTTCATTTCATTGGGTGCAAAATTGTAAACGACAATGTGGAAATTGGGCAGCAGTTGAGTAAGAGCAAGCACTGCATATTATTAAACTATGCAAAGGGAAATAATGTATAAAGGCCGAGAGAGAGAGGACTAAATATCTTGTTGTTTATATATAATAAATATAATATAATATTATAACCAACAAGAAATTGTCTTCTGTAGCTTATACATTAGTCGTCAATGGTGATGGTGACACGACCATTGACCCATTCCTCATCATTTTTTTTTTTAATTTTTTTTTATTTTTTTTTTGTTTCTTCTCTTATTTTTTATTGGAAAACATACATTTTATACATTTATTATTAATCTAATAGAATGCGAATTGGAACAGATATTTTCTTCAACTCAGACAACAAGTTGCCTAATCTTTATCCGGGGCAATTTCGACATTGTACAATATATGTTCCAATCAGAATAATTTAGTACTGTGTGCAAACGACCTCGACCGGACTTGAACAACTTGAATCTGCTCTCGACAGATTCCATAGACCTGTAAAACAACACTGGGAGTAGTCCTGGAGAGAGACTCGAGACTCCAACGACAAGTCAAAATATGTATGACACTTGCGCAACCTGCCTCTGAGATCATTCGAACAAGTGAGGCCAACTCGAAAGCCTTAATCATGACAAGTTTTTTGCCATCAAGGCTCTAACACTTGTCCGACTTGCCTCTAAAGTCGTTCAGACAAGCGACCGTCTAGCTCGAAAGCATTAGTCATGCTGGGATTTTGCCATCAAGGCTCCAACACTTGTCCGACCATGCCTTTGAGGTCGTTCAAACAAGTAACTGGTCAGCTAGAAAGCCTTAGTCATGTAAAGTTTTGCTGGGACTCTGCTCTGTTAGGAGGTCTTCCTGCTACTGAGGTCGACCCATTTGTTCTGATCACCTCCAATCTTTAAAACCAAAATGACAAACATTGGCGAAATAATAATCTTCATTAACCATGAAAGACATGAAAATTACATAAGGCCAAAAATCAAGCATAATATTTTTTTCAAATTCATCAGATTCCACGATCTAGGCAATAATCTCCCTTGGCCATCTCTCAAAAGTGTAGGCACCTCCTGCATGCACACGATCAGCAATATATGGACCTTCCCAATTTGGGTCGAGCTTGTCGACGTGCGTTAGCACATCAACCCTTTTCCAAGCAAGATCTCCGACCTGAAACCTCTAGATTTTGGGTCGAGCTACTTTGTATTTTAAGGTTTTTTTTTAATAATTTTACTAATAGAACCAAAAGAGAGACCCAAGATGACGAGCGTCATTAGAAGAAAATAAAAGTACGTTTTGTAATTAATTTTTACAAACTTATAGAACCAATAGAGACCCAAGATGACGTGCGTCTTTAGAAGAAAATAAAGTTTGCAGAGTCGATCACACACTGAGCTTCTAAATGTTAATGTTATTAGCTTCCAAATAAATCGAATGCACGTCAACATTTAAGGATGGGGTCAGAAATTGAAAGAAAGGGGCAAAGGAAAGATGAAGTTTCACCCATGATGAATCAGAAATTAATTTGATTGTTTAAAAAAAGAACGATAAACAATTGGATTCATTTGGATCATTAGTTCCTACAACACAATCGCCTATACAGCAAACAGTGGTTGTATTGTACCTCGCCAGCCAAACAAACAAAACAAAAAATAGTGTACTCATACTGCTCTCTACTTCAAAATTTGGTAATATGCTAAAACTATATAAAAAGAACTCAAGCAACCAAAAAATTTCTATCACTAACTTGAATCAATAAAATCAATCAGATCAATTTTATCAAGGAATATCAGTCATATAGCTTAAACACCCAACCGGGCTTCTCCTTCATTCTCATTCTCATCACCGATCTCATTTTTAACTCTCTTTTTGTTGTGTTTTATGTCGCCGTAAAAGTAGGAAAAGAAACCCCACAAGGAGAGGAACAGAGATATGCCCTTCTCAGCTTGGAACTTCTCTTTGAAGAAAATGACGGCCAATACTTCAGTTACGGGCAGCACCACAGTCATGACGATGCCCGCCACAAGTGAAGACGAGTAGAAAATCACGCCAATAGCTCCCAAGAAAAAGCACTGCCATAGTATGGCTCCCCAAACAACCACCACATAGTATATCGACTCCCCTAGTCCGTACGCTTTTGCTTCTCCTGCAAGAGCCTGCATATGAAATTGAACAGATATGGTTAAAACTGCATATTATGCTGAGTAACTTGGTGGAAATGTAAATTGTTGCCATTAACTTTTTTGTCATTTCAGAAAAATGTAACTAATCAAAATCGCTATCAAGCAATTAATTAGTCAGTGAATAGTTGTTTGAAGAATTGTGTTTGAATTTGAATGTATTTTCTCAAAAAAATTGGCAATTGACCCAATTTACTGACATGTTCTATAATTTTGGATAAATAAATTTGATGCTAATACACATGATTAATGAATTAAAATAAAAACTATAGGATCATGTTATCTGCGTGAATCCTAAGCGTAACGGCAAAATCAGATGCGGTTATTTTTTCGAACTGCGTAAAAAAACCTCTCTCACCTGAAAATCGTGGTTGATGAGCATCCCCACCGTGGAAAACGCGGTGGCGAAGATAGACATTACTAGCTGTATCTCGAGCACGAGCGCGTACGTCAGCTCCTTCTTCGTCCGCTTGTACGTCAGCTCCACCAGCGGCAGTATGAACCCGTACAGCGCCGACGCCGCCACCGTCATGAAGAACCCCACCCAATACTGCCGGCTCGTCTCCCCGGGCGGCCGATCGCTCTTTGTGTGGAGCCCCAGCACGGCGGCGCCCACAGTCAGGAGGACAACGGAGTTGACGGAGAACGCCGTGAACCGCTGCCGCACAATGAGGAACGCGAATGCCGCCGTGAATGCCAGCTGCGACGCGATGATGAGGGTGGAGGTGGAGACCGGGAGCTTCGCGATGCCGTACGCGAAGAGGTAGTTGTCGAGGCCGGTCAGGGCGCCAATCACCGCCGCGGCTGCGAACAACCGGAGGTCCATGAGGACAAGCCTGGCGCCGGCGGATACACGGCGGCGGCGAGCGTAGCAGGCGGCGAGGGGGATGAGGATGACCGGGAAGCCGCCGCTCTCGAGCCAGCTAGAGAACCAGATCCGCTTGCCGCCGTGGATGAAGTAGAGGCGCATGATCAGCGGCCCGGCGGTGTTTCCGACGGCGAGTATGAGGCAGTTGATAATGAGGAAGGCCGTCTTCGCGGCGGAGGATGGGGCGGCGGTTTGGATGTCCATGGATTTTGATTTTGATATTGCCTTTTTTTTCCCTTTATTTTTGAATTTCACTTGGACTCAAAGGGAAACATGAGTTTGTAACTTATATATATATAGGCGCTTGGTCAATGGTGACCGAGACTCTATAGGCAACGTAATCGGATGTTTATTATGTGCGATAGTAAATAAATATCTTGGTTTGGACGCCAAGTATTGTTTATTACGTGCGATGGTAAATAAATATCTTGGTTTGGATGCCAAGTAATTTTTTCTTTTTCACTCCATTTTTTGTTCAATTTTTTTTTTTTTTTTTTTTTTTTTTTTTTTTTTTTTTTTTTTTTTCTATTTTATACATTTCTTGTTGACCCGTTAAAGATCAAAGCCCTACGGGTGCCACCTCATCAAAATTTGGAATTAGTTAAACTTATTAGTACAACGTCCGTGTATTACACGAGTGCTTGCTATTTTTTTTTTTTTAAATTTAAAATTAATGAGAAAAAGTAATTGAAAATTTAAATACATTTTATAAAAAATATATATATATTATTATATATTTAGTATGACACTTTTTATTTGTGCGACTTACCTTTGTTATATTATAATAATTTTTTTTAACTTACAACATATAACTACATTAAACATTAATATATCAATTGAGAAATAATTTTATTTTTCTAATGAATTTTAATAAATATTATTATTTTTATTATTATAAAGATAAATATAATTTATTTATTTCATATATACAATATGAATGTCAAATCGAAAATCATCAAAAGATGATTAATTTGATATATTATATAGGTAAAACCGATAACAAAATAGAAAAGTTATCA